CGGAACATCGCCTGCAGAGGGAGACAGTCCACAGTGTAAACTTTAGCCACCTAACTCAGTTAATTGAATGCTCACAATGCTCAGTGCAAATATTGGATTATAGCGATTATCTAAGTTAAGTAAACCTAATTTTCAAACAACGGCTAAGAAGAAAATGCGGTGGACAATAATCAGATGGAACGAATATCTACAATACCACCCACTCAAACACTGCCAAGATAAAACTGATGGTCACAGGAGGAGGCTCGGGACTAACTATTTCTAATTCACCGACAACACATTGCAATATTACAGCTCCCCCTCAGAGCCAGGTTGGAAAGAGGAAAAAGGGACGAGGAACTAAAACAAGACAAGAGGCTTAATTTCAACATGTTTTGTTATTTTTCTCCAAATATCTTACTATTCTCAACCTATTTCCTTAATCTCTGTTGGCAATTGGCCCTACTGCTCCACCAGCACCACTGCCTCCTGTCAACACCACCTATTTGTCTTAACAGGGGGTGGGGTGCACACTTTGGGCTTTCTTCTAGTTGCCCAGCTTTGTATTCTGCTTCCATTTTCACAGTGAGAGAGCACGGGGCCCTAAAATGCACAGCCGTACCCCAATGGATATTACCATGCACGAACGCATCACATGCGGATAAATGCAGCCGGACGCACACACACATCCTGGCACATACACACACACAGCTACAGAGACCTCGCCAGCAATCCAAAATATTATGTCTGCTTTTGTCTGCATTCTTCTGTCGGTCCCGCCAAAACAACAAGTTTCTCACGTCTTTTGGGAGGAATGGCAGGCGGGCTGTGAGCATAGTTTCTGGTGCGTGGTGGTGTGGTGTGTGTATTATCCAAGAAAACCGGACCGGCATCTGGGGTGACACGCCCAGAGCAGGAAAGTGTTTGTGAAGTAGCTTAAGCTGATTGGCTTAGGATAAAGTGTTTCCTCTTTTACTTGTCAGGACTAGGCTCAAAGCAGATCCATTCCATTTAAAACAAGAAAAATTTTAACTTGCGAGAAAAAAAAAGCAGATTCTGTTGAGAAGTCAGCAGTTTACTGACGAGTGTAAAGCAAGCAAGCACTTAAAAGACTATAAGCAGCCATGAGCAGAGAAGATCTGTGAAACAAAATTTTCCCAGATTTTTTTGGTGCATTCAGGTGAAAAATGCTGTTTCTGCACAATCATCTTCCAGCTAGTGTTGAAACACCCACATCTTGGGCCTGCCAGGGGTTCATTATTTATTTCACATTAGATGTCAGTACACAAATTATTTAGAAGGGCTGTGGCGTCTTGACCAGATTAAGCAAACCCTAATGGGATTTTTATATTCCTTAAACAATGGACTGGCCTTGGCTGGCTTAGAGAAAAACACAGTTGATTCTCATTTAACATTTTGTTGGTTGGCTCTTCTCTGTTTTATTTTGCAGTCAAGTTAGAAGGTTTTTTTGATTAATGAACATTTACAGTTATGCTGAATATTCTACAAAGCTTGGGCCTCCATCTACTGCCGCAGCTAAGAGAAATAAACAAAAACCTTAGCAGGACCCCCCCCCCCAACTACTCACTGCGACACAACGCCTCTTTGGAGGGCCGGGCAATATTTGTGTGTAATTGGTGTGTGTAAGGTGGCTTGTGTTATGCATGTTGTGTTTTGTGTTGTGGTGTTCATGCTGGCCAGAGGAATGCTCTGGGCCTCACGCCTGGCTGAGCCGTCACAATGGACCGGCTCTTTCACACTGCCAGGGAAATCCACTCTGATACGGGGAGGAGAGAGAAAGAGAAAGGAGAAGGAGCATGCCATAAGCCAAATGTTTGCAACTGGGGTCTGAATACCATGTATACTCTTATATCCAAAAAACTGTTAGCCCTCTGCTCTTTTCATTTTTATTCCAATTTGCATCTACTCATTTCTTTTCACTCTCTGGTATAAAACTCTTCGTAATTCCACTTGCTCTTCCGGTGGGACAACGACACCTGTCGCGTTAACACATCAACACACACATGCAAAAATTAAAAAAACATTTAAAGTTTTTTTTTGGGGGGGGGGGGTGGGGGCGGGTGGGTGGTTGCTATTAAGCATATTTTCTAACTAGAAATTAAAATTGTTTAATAAAGTTTCATTTTGGTTTTTTTTGTCATATTCAGATGACACGGAGGCGGGAGTTTTGGAGAGTTTGTGTGGTGGTGACTGGCCCACGGAAGGAAAAAGAGAGATCGACAAGACAGGGAGGGAAGGAAACTGGGTCTGTTTGGTCAACTCAGGTCAGCGCTTTTAGCAGATGTTACGGCCACTTCTAGAGGCCCCCCTAAAGCATTCTCAGCGTGTGAGATAGTGTGCCCATTGTGTGTGCTAAGACATTACTGTGAACACATACACCACATTTACACATCGCTTTTTTCACTTAAGCGGCGGGCCAGTCAACAGGTCAACTTTTATCATTTCTAAAACCTTGCTGACAAAATGAAGGGACTGGGTGGGAGAAGGGTTGCCATATAGGAACAAAAAAAATCCAGTGGGCACAGCAATAGGCAAAACGGATTTGATGCTTCTTGTGTCTGGCTAATCTCAAGATACACAACACAAGGCATAGCACACACTCGCAAGCACATGCACACACCTCCAAGCAGGCGGCCTTAGTGGCATATTTGGTACCTATTATCCAAATTGATACCTTCACAAACCCACCAATCAGCGTTCCCTTTTTATCTTTTATTAGGTGCATTAACTTAACAGGCTTCGACATGCGCCATTGGGGTGCAGGGCCTGCTTGTGGTGTGGGGTGCTCATTGATGACCATGTGTGCATGTATTGGGTTTGTCAGGGATGCTGTCAGTTGTTCTCGGAGGTTTGCCGTATATGAATGTTAAGTGGTGGTGTGCCACGTTACCTTGCTGCACGAGACTGCATGGTGGGCGGGGTGGGCGCAGGCTGGGACCAGACCTTGGTCTCTGGGGGGAGGTTGAGGGGATGTGCTTGCTGCTTGGCAGCTGCTGCATCTGGCGATCCAGCTGCTGCTGGAAGGCCAACTCGCCTTACTGCCTAACTGGCTGTTAGAATGACAGAGAGACAGCAAGGGTAGAAAAAGTTGGGCCAAGTGGATCTAACAGTCAGTTAGTTATCGCAAGGGTTTTTTTTTATTATTATTTATTTTTACTTATTTGATTTGATTTGGCTAGAATACAATAAAACAAAATTAGGGACTAAAACTTTTGTAATAGCACATTTTTTCAATGGCGATAATTTTGAACTTTTCATACATACTTTGGCCCTGATTGATTTTTTTTCTTTTCTTTAACATCTAAGAAGAAGCCCTTCCCTATTCTGTGTTTATGATTTCAGTTGTCTGCGTGGTTGCAATAAATCATTCAGGCGTCTCACCTAATTCAAGTAAAAGTTAAATAAAAATAAAAGGATGATATAAAGGTTAATTGTCGGTGCTGAAAAACAATGTGAGAACTGCGGCCTTAGGGTGCCCAGAAAATTAGTTCATGTATTAAAAGGAAGGAAAAGCCCCGAAGCCAAGCTGTGAGGATCCCAAGGATGAAGAGAAGAAAGGGGAAGGGGAATGGAGGGAGGTTTGAAGGGAGAGGGGGAGAGACACATGGCGGCGTGGCGATAATTGGCTCGCGTGTGTGTTACGGTGGATAAATCGTCCCCTTCGCGCTCTCCCAGTCTTAGGGGGCAGGACTGGCCTGCTGCCTGCGGCTGTTTGAAGTCCCCCTGCATCAGTTCCCTGAGGAGAGGGATGCGACTTTAATCTATCACAGATAAACTAGAGGCAGGGAAAAGTAAATAAATACAACTTGAGGAAACTGCTCAATTGTGTGTGCATATGCTGCAGTGTATGTGCTATGTGTGGTGTGAAGAGGGAGAGGAGAAAGCAGAGGAGAGAGGAGAGAGAGAGAGAGAGAGAGAGAGAGAAAGAGTGGCAGCCTAGAACTCTTTGAAAAGAGAGGATCTCACAGGAAGGGCAGAAAGGTCACTTCCTTTCAGACTTGGTGCCTGGGGAGAAGAAGTGTGATGGCAGTGTGTTTGTGTGCGGGAGGGGGCTGTTAGGGAGGAGTGAGGGGGTGTAGAAGAGTAAGCAAAAAAGCTATTACAAAAGAAAAACAGAGGGATAAAAAGAAGGAAAACACTTTTTTCATGCAACAGTTTAATTGAACTTGGTTGCAGCTATAAGTTTTCAAATTACTATAACAGAAAATGTTTTTATATTTGTATCATAATATTTTCTGGAAATCTGGGGCCTGTTTCACAAAAGTGATTTTAAAGCAGGGTTAGTGTCGCGTTTCACAAGCACAAGCATGTGTTGCAACTGCTGTTTTGATTATTGAAATGTGCCTAAATCAACAAGAAAGGAAATTAAATCTACAACAGACGAAAAGGGCTGACAATTCTAGGACCACAGAGAAATCTTTGTTCAGAGAGCCCAGAATCTTTATCTACAATTATTCAAACTAGGGTATTATCTGGAAACTCTTGTCATAGGTAATGAGTGTTGCAGTTACAGACAAAATCTGTGTCATGCTTACATAGTTCAGTTGATGTGAAAAGTGAATTGCCAAATTCTTGTTTGTTCCAATAAAGGGTTTATCCCCTTTCCCGCTTTTTCTCTGTCTTTCCAGGCCTCCTGCCCCTCCTCTCCTTTTCTACTTGTCTGTCCATTTTATAACCAACCCCCCGTCTCTCATTCTCTCTTGAGATATGGCTATGGTTCTTTAAGACACACACTGGGTGTGTGTATGTGTGCCTGTGTTCTGTTTACATTAGCTGTGGCTGAGTGGCCAAAGCTAGCGCAGTAACAGGCTGTCAATGTGATTTATGAGCACATCACACACTGTCTGAGCCTGCCAGTCACACAGACGCACGCACACACACACACACACACACACACAGAAGGACACTCACAGACACGCGCATGCACACATACACATACTGTAGACGGACACTTGCAGTCGGACACATACATACACATGCACAAATCTCTTGTGATGGTCAGAGTCACTTCATTAAGCTGACTCCTGACCAGTCCCAAATGCACCGACGACACCCACAAACACTGACTCAACATACACATACATACTTTTTCTTTCAATGCATGACTTCCACACAGACAAGAAAGTGAAGAGGAATTGTAGAAAGAGGGGAAAAGGGTAAAAAGTCACAGCCATTCGAGCACAAACACTCCATAAGGCAAGGGAGTGATTTTCTGTTTTATTCTCCCTCCTTCCTCTACTCTCTTCTCTGTCGCTTCCTGTTCTCATGTTTGCTGGGTGTGTTAAAGGCCTGCTGGAATTTAAATTAGTTTAAAATCGTCTACCACACCTGGTGTGCCTAACTCTACTCTGCCCTGTAGCAGTTTGTGGGTAAAGAGGCAGTATACTTGGTGGATTACTGGTTAGATTGTATTGTAGGACAGGCTACAAACAGCACAAGCCTTACATTAATGAAATAACTCCCCTGCCTCAATTTCTGAGAGCACCGGCTTGAGCAAGAGAGATATTCAAATCGACTAAAAAGGTGTTTCCAGTGTTGACTGATGGCTCGCAGCAACTGGAAAAACACTGCCTGCCGGAAATGGCCTTAGTCATATCAGCTGTATGCATCTTTGTAGGGAGGCATATTCCCCCAAGTGTATGTGTTTGTGCAGTGAACCATCACACATCAAGCCTCTCCCTTTTTGCATGTATGTGTAGCGGTGTGACCAGTGTTTGCACTTGTCTGGTTGTTACAGGACAGCAAACCTGAAAACTGGGACAGTTGCAGAGAGAAGGGAGAAAGGGAAAGTGATTCAGACACCCTCTCAACATGCGAGTCAACCACAACTGGTTTGCTTTGGTCACGGTCGAGTTGGTTGACCGCTGTCGGCGAGGAGTTTGGGGGTGGAGGGGTGCGTGGGGGGGTATCTGCCCACTGGGAGAGGGGGATGATGGAGAGGAGGAAGAGCGGGGAGAAATCTAGGATGTGTCTTCTCATGCGTTTATCAGAAAAAGTCTCACGAGGCCTTTTTCCATGAAGTCTGTCTCCTGCATGGTCCTCTGTGTGTTCGGTAATTTTGGTGAATGAGCATTCATGTAGCAAAAACGTCTCTATTAGACATGTACAGTACACACATGCACAAACACTCATGCACAACCTTGTGTACACACAGGTTATGACAGTAATCTTGCCTGATCGATTGAGATCCTCTTTGTTGTGCCGCAATGTGATCCTAGTTGATCCTCTGTTATCCTACTGTACCACAGCTGTGTTAAAACCTGGTACAGTGTGTGTGTTCATGCATATTTGTGTGTGTGCGTGTGAGAGAGAGACAGAGAGAGTGCTAGTCCTAGTGCTGGCGGGGTTAATTGACAATTAAAAGAGTGGCAGACCCCTCCTACAAAGAGATTTCACCTCAGGCTTGGAGCCGAAGGCATGCAAATGAATACTTTGGCAGGGTAGTGTGTGGCTTAACACAGCACTCCTTCGCTGCCTCAACATGGTGTGCTGCTCCATATTCACTAATCCTTGTTTGGAGACAAGCTTGTACACACAATAATAAACAAAAAAAATGAGAGCAGAGACATAGAGAAGGGAGAAGAGAGTGAACCTATGTATCCCACATCATATACATCAGATCCTCGATATGATTTTTTCCTCCTGCCGGCTCCTACGTTAAGGGCACTTGTGTACTTCAGAGTGTACTTGAGCTGAGTGAGTATGTACTTGGTGAAGTTCACCTCTTTTGCCGCTTGCTTCCCAGCCTGCTGCTGCTGCTGCTGTTGCTGCTGAGTCAGAAGCTGGAGATGCAACTGCTCCTGCTGCTTTTTGTAATATTCCTGTAACTAGAGACATACACAGAGAGAGAGGGGAGGCAGGGTAAGGAAGAGGGGAAGAGGGAGGGTAGGAAATATGAGGCGAGTGAGTCACAACACACTTTGTATCAACCTCAACGATATTACAGTCTTCCAACAGTGAAATGCGGCGCTATAGTCAGACACCATAACTTGAATGGGAGACTCAAGGAATGCAGTTGCTCTCTATTCCACCATTCTCGGTGAAGGCCGCAGTTTATTGTTGTGGTGGTGTGTGCATTATTGACAAACCACAAACAAAAAGCAAACACAGTCTGACTAATATGATGGAGCTATTATATTGTGTCAAGACTGACTGTGTATGTCAAAGCCACTGTATAGTGCTGGCCCTGCTTGGATTATTCACATAGAGTTCAAGCGCTGTACAGAAGGATCTGACTGTGAAGCACAATGCAGTCAGGCAGAAGGGCAACAGACCAGAAATACACCTGCACACACGCACTGCATTGTAAAGGAGAAGCTGACATGATTGGAAAATATATAAAAAATAAATCGGGGGAGCTGAAGATGAGTCCTGCTAGCACACTCTTTTTACACACACACACACAGCCTGCATGACAGAACAGGACTGTTCTAAGCCTACAGGGAAAAAATGGCCATGGAGATATTCCTCTGTGAAATACTTTAAGCCAGCTCTTACTGTACTGCTGTCATAAAACACCTGCTGGGACTGTGTGTGTGTGTGTGTGTGAGTGTGTTTTTTTTTCCAGTAATTCTTAAATGGGCTGTTTCAACACCAGGTACATAAGTACTGGCCCCAGGTTATGTATGGTTATTTATAGGTTGTCACCCATCGCCATAGTAACCTGAAGCAGTATGCTGGTAACCTGATGGAAGTTTTCTACACTCCTGTTCTTCACCTTTACTAGCATTTTATTTTCTGCCATAATTATGCAGATATTATCTTGGAATTAACTAGACTGCTGTGCTAAATGCATTATTTTAAACTACCGGATTCAGCATTGCAGTCTAATTTATGGAAACACACACATATTAATTCATGATTCACATACACTCACACAGACACACACACACAGTCTCCTCTGACTGGCCTCAACTGTTTGTTTGAGTTAGTAATCACTAATTTACTCAGGAAGCTCTATTAAGATTATAATCTTGCTGAGAGGAGAGCAAGGCGGACAGGAAAACTCACACTGACCACAGTGTGTGTGTGTGTATGTGTGTGTGTCCTCTTGAGAACAGCTTGTACGCGTGTCCGTCTGCAGTTTGTCTTTGTTTCATGGTGCATCAAATGTTCAAAGAGGCTTTTCAGCAGAGAATGATTTCACAACGCAGCAGTTGTTTCGGTCTCTCATCTGTCTGACCCTGCAGTGACTACACACCACTGCCCATCCTCACAACACACCCTGTGTAATGTGTTGCTTTTTTTGTGCAAAGCTGTTTTACATTTCCAGTTTCAATCTTATCCCAGCCATAACTTAAATTTTGCACAATCGACTGTGCTTTTGTACTATGACGTTCCTTCTTGTCCTTCAATTCATTTTAAATGCAGCACTCATTCCTTCTTGCTGCTCTTTCGCTTCCATCTGTCTTTCCTCTCTTTTATCGCTCCTTAGGCGGAGTTAATCTCTCTTTTCCGCGTCACTAGCCCTGATCGCCTCCTCATCACACAGACAAATGCATATGCAAGCACACACACACAGAGGCATGCACGCACACATGCAGTTGGCTGGAGAGTGGTGAGTTGAGGGAATAATTAAGTGATAATTAAGGCCTTTTTAATGATTTGATTCAGTGGCTCTGTGCATTAAGAGTATGTGTAAGTGAGGCACTCACCTCTCGAGCCTATTACCATGACCTTGACTTTAGTGAACACACCAAGAAAGAAAGGCAGAGCAGCTCTAGCATAAGTAAAGGTTAGAGGAAACTTAAAGGTTGAAACACACGCACACAAACACACATGCAAATCCACAAATGAGTGCCCATACAAAGACACAACTGCTGTGTGGCAGTGGGCCGTAAACCTTACTTACACACCCTTACACAATGCTGTATTGCCATGGGGATATGAAATTTAATGCTTCAGTGAGTGATATGTTGGTTGATTGTTCTGTGTGTGTGTGTGTAAAAGTGCCTGATTTGCAGATATACACTAAGAGCAAGTCCATACTGTGGTTAATTAAGTGGGAGAGCAATGTTAAACTCAGTGGTTTTAATAGTGGAAGTGTAATGTGTGTGTGCGTGTGTGCATTATCAACACCCCCCACCCCCCCGCCTCCTTTTTTTTCCTCGTTAGAGAAAAAAAGAGCTGGTGAAGAGGTTCTTAGCTGTCTGCATGTCTGTTTCCAGAAAGCCAGCACATTTCACATTTCCATTATGATACATGTTGTCAGATCTTCCCACTGCAATTTATACTCGCCTAAAGCTACCGCTCCTTATTAAATCTTACGGTCTTCTCTAGCCTTGCCTGCCTGTGTATGTATGTGTTTTCTAGACATCCTTTATGCTGCAATTACTCTCTCTCCACTCTGTTAATAATCCTCTTCACAGGCTTTACAAGGTTGCCTGTGTGCTTTGCGTGTGTAGGTAGGAGGTCACAGGTTGGTGTGGACGAGTATTTGACAGATCTGTTGCAGATGAAGAGTGTTTATTGGTCTGTGTCGACATGGCAACCCCTCTATCACCTGCCAGGCATCAACACACACTCTCTTGAATCACTGTGATTCACTGGCTGATGCTAAAAAGCCTACAAGTGTGTGTGTGCGTGTATGTGTGTGCCTGCAGGCAGAAGCATGCACATTCTCTTAGCAACAATGCTAAAGAGGAGGTACTCAAAATGACAATGTGTGTATAAGTGGATATGTGGATGTGTGTTTATCTTCAAAGATCTCCAAGAATTGAATAAGATACAATCACACCCAGTGTGTGTCAGCACCTACTAAAACAGACACATCCAAACATGCTGGCCTGGGATCTGGTCCAACCAGTGTGTGTGTGTGTGTGTGTTGTGTGTGGTTGTGTTTGTCTGTGTGTTTCTGGTGTGTATGTATTTTACCTGCTGTAGCATTAGAGCCTGCTGTTGCTGCAGCAGGGCCTGGAGCTGAGGGGGAGACAGAATCTGTTGCATCTGCTGAGGAGTGATCATCTGTGGACTCATCATAGCCATGGACACAGGAACCTAAAGACAGCACAGGAATGCACACAGACATTTTAGATAATTCACACTTACGATACTAGTAGATATTAGTGGAACAGCTAAATGAATGGGTTAAGCTTTGTGTGAAAAGGCTCCAGCCAGCACAGCGAGCTTTAAGCATGACTGTGCCTGCACACTGAATGCTCAGCTCAAAACAAACAATCTGAACGGAGGCTGTGCAGTATGCTGGTATGGACAGGTAAAGTTAAAGAGGTGTGTTGTCTCTTATTCTCTTTTGTCAGTCAGAAGAAGAAGAGCTTGCAACATCAGACAAAGATAAATAGACTGATGCACCACAGTACACACATATTGTTGACACTTTCCTACACAAGGCTGGCATTGTAAACACACACACACACACAAAGGCAATTTCTGTGACAACAGACAGATAAAAGGACAGATACACAATCTCGCTATAAGATATAAAATCTTATCTGCTTCTATAAACACATGATTAGGACTGCCTCCGATTCTCTTTCCACGCAGTCAAGCCTGGCTAAGAAGAAAGGAACAACAAAGTGGCTATCTGATGAGATGTCTATCTCATCAGATAGAGCTGCAGGCAGGAAAAGACAGATAGAGAGAGAGACAGAGAGAGAAAAGGGGTGAATCTTGCAGAATGTGTTGTGCAAGCTCTTAATGCACATGCATTGTACACAGAGATGTGCAGAGATTTTAATCTGATTACAAACACTGAAAAACTGAAGACAAACTAACCACATAAATGAGGAAACTGAGTGCATGCATAAATGCAGACCGAATATATGAAAAAACCTGCAGACAATCCTGCTGACTAAGTGCTTTTGTATTTATTAACTGAATTAAGGTTTGAGAAAACTACGGAGGGATTAAGAGACAGAGCAGTTCAGATACAGAAATACTTAAGAAGGGGAGTGAGATCGAGTTGGAGACTTCACTGCCTGCACATCAATAAACTACACTGCCATCTCAATACAAATACTCCTGTCTGTTAGGAAGTGATGGCTATTTTATAGAGAAATACAAGGGTGAGTTATCATCTCTGAAATTGGCCATTTATCTATATTCACTCTGTGGTGAAATATCAATCTCTCTCATGGTCAAACTGTTCATATGTGTGCGTGTGTGTGTGGGCTTGCGTGTGTGGGCACACACAAGTGCTGGTGTGTGCGGAGCTCTCTTCAGAGGAGTCTATCTACTCACTACCTGAGAGAATGGCAGGTAGGGAGGGTGGTGTGAGAGTGAATTGTGTGGTAGATAGCAAGAGAGGAACGAGCTGTTACAGGTAAATTAAATCTGTAAAGAGCTGATTTGACTTTGTAAACAAGATTGGCCATAAATACTAACACCCTCTTTTCCCACCAGGCCCCTGTCTACCCCCTCCCTGCTTCCCTCCCTGCCTCCCTCCATCCATCTCTGTCTCTTTTTCTCTCTGCGTGTCTGTCAGTGGCCCCACACTCTGCCTTTATCAGACCAGGCTTCCCAAACTAAACACACTCCCAGCCGCATGTATCGGCGAGGGGATGGAGAATAGGTTAGACAGGGCAGGGCAGATGTGGGTCAGGGCTAGGAGAGTAAAAGAGGGGTGCGTTGGGGTATGTAGATGAATGAGCTGTAGTGCAAGAGTGTGTGTGTGTGCGAGCTGAGGGAAAAGAAAAGAGTCAGAGTGGGGTGAGGCAGGGGAAGGGGTGGTGTTGTGGCAGTTGGTAAAGGAACAGGCAGAAAAGATGGGATGGTGGGGTGGGGTGTGGTGAGTAAGGTGGGGGTGGTGATGGGTGCCGCTTGGCGTCATGCCAGCTTGCCCCCGCCGCCGGGCCTTGTCAGTCTAAGCTGCCAAATGAAAAGCTGTAATTAATTGCTCTTGTGCATCCCATTCTTCCTCCCTGACAACTCATACATTCTATTTTATACACACCGCCATTGACATTTTCAAGTCACAGGCGTAATAATTACTGGAGTTATAGCACCTTTCTGTGTGTTGGCTGACGCTCTGACGCCTGAACCAAATGCGCGTCCATGTGTGCTGATATGGTATGTGTGTAAACGTGCATGTGTTTAAGGCTGAATGTGTGTGTGGCAGGCTGAATGCTGAGTAGTTAAGGTTTGACGCCATTAATTGCCCCTATAATCTAATATCACAAAGCGTGGTGATTATGGGGCATGCGTTGCCACCGCCATACGACACCGCCAGCCTGAGAGCGCCGCCACAAAACAAAAGCCTCGCCATTAGCGATTTGACGGGCCAGGACAAAAGCGCCTCACAATGCGGAATTATATTTTCATTCGGCTTTGTCTCTCCCGGTGAATGATTTCTCCCCTTTCATTGGACTGTGAATAGGGAGAGTCTGAAAAGCCGGGCGATTTGAAGTCAGCCATTTATTAAATGCATTTAATTTTTTTTTCCACAGTCGTCCCATTTTTTTCATGTTGCATGTTAATTTAAAAGAGAGAGATGCCTGGTAGATTAGTGGGAGAGAGGTGAAGCTGGGGAGGGGTGTGTGAATGGAGGGGTGAGCAGAGAAGGGAGAAGGAGGGATACCATCCATGGGGTGAAAGAAAGGAACGAAGGAAGGAAAAAAGGAAGGGATGGAGGAAATAATGGTTGTAAAATAGAGAGATGTGTGTTAAGAGTCATACTGAATAAGAAAGGAACCCTGCCCGGCAGGTTTTTGGAAGGTGAAAGTGTGGCCTAGAGCTTGAGGCAATGGTTGCGACAGCAAAGACACACACACACAGACACATACACACTGCGGAGGGGTCGGTGCCTGACAGAGGTCAACCCCTGTCTTGGAAAAAGGGGAGCTGGGGGAGGGAGAGGGGAGAGAGAGAG